GTGTGATGTTCTTGGCACTTCCAAAATCTCTTTATTCAATGTTGCGAGTAAGCCAAGAAACGCTGGTGGCAGAAATTTGCTCTCCATTCTTCAAAGCTTACCCTGGCTTTCTTCTAATCTGGCTGTTTCCCCAGAAGCCACAAAGAAGCCAAAGTTGAGTAAACTCACCCTTTTTATTCTTAGAAGTCATGTTCGTCAGCAGAAAAAAACTGGCGAACCTTCTTTGAACCTTTCTCTAGTAAATGTCTCTTGTTTTGCAGCAGTGGAACCTGAATCAATAAGCTCAGCTCAGAAGAAACCCACCGCACCAGCACACACAATGACACCAAAATGTAGCAAGGAAAACCCTGAAGCTTGGGCCCGGATCTCTGCTCCGCGGATTATTCCAACAAAGCCCAACTTCGGGGAATGGCAGACCCAAAGAGGATCTCGGAAGTTGGACCAGGTACAAAGCTATCTTAACTCAAGAAAGGCTACTATTCCTCCAACTTTCGAGAATCCATTCAAGGTGCTTGAGAACCTTTCAGAAGACGATTACCAAGTACCTCAGTGCAGAAAGCATAAGAGTTCGGTAAAGCGTCCTTTGGAGACGTCTATGGAATACACTTCTTCAATTCTTTCTGACACGGCAACCTTAGTTGACTCCGCAAAGAGTCCATACGAGGAACCGGGTAAAAAAACTACTAACTCCGAATTTAGCACAGGAACTTTCCAGACTTTTGGGTTGAAGGAAATCCCTTCTCTCATCCTCCCAAGAAAACCACCATTTTATACTACGGAATATAAGGATTTGGAAATTGCACTTTTGCTTGAAAACCGGAAACTCAAGCAAAAGGCTTCTGAAAATCCTGTCCTGGAATTCAGAAAGAACAAGCGCTTTGTTCCTATCAAGGAAACTCCCGAAACTTTTAGAAACACATCCTCTCCACCTCGTGTGCCATCACCACCTCGGATCATACCAGAAGGCGAGTGGCAGGTCCAAGGAAAAAGACGTAGAAGAAATTTGAACCAAGGCAAAACGTGTTCCCTGGTTACCCAGAAGCCCGAGAACGATACTTCGGTCATCTTGCCAGAAACCATGATTTCTCCTGAAGGAAGAGTGGCCAATACTCCAGCCTAGAGTCAGAATTAGGTTCTGACAATTTCAACAGAAGTTTTGTCTGATGCAAAAGTTACTAGAGCAAGTCTAGTATGCTTAGTATTCAGAGAGACTGCTAAAGAAATCGTTATAACCAATACTGAAAAGAATGGGATATTGCCTTGTTCACGCGGGGAATAAAATAAAGACAAAAAAAAAAAAAAAAAAAAAAAAAAAAAAAAAAAAACATAATAAAAACTAAAAAAAAAGGAAAAAAAAGAAAAACAAAAAAAAAACACAAGTGGATACGATCGATATGGACACGAGGCGCCTGGGGTAAATTTAGTTTTTAGTCTATTTTTGTTAGTAAGGGGTGAGTGAGAGACTCCCTGAAACTAGCACCCTATAATAAGACAAAATCTTTAACGAGCAAAAGCTCAAACTGCTAACTAAAAATCGCTTTAAACATTGCTAACTAATATTGCTCAAACTCTATTATTCAATAAAAAACTATTCATTTTGGAAATACAATTCACAGGGGATCTTGAATAAATCCGAGCAAGAACATTCTAAAACCTAAGAAATTATTCTGAGGGCGTTCTTTCCTCTCCTAAAGTACTTTAAGTATTTCTAAAATAAAGATAAAGAAGGAAGAATCAAGAATGCTTTTGGGTTTATATGGTCTGGTCGTTGGTATTCACATGGTTTTAAAACCGCTAGTCTGTAAAATGAAGGTTTGACATTGGACAGTGGGGAAACCAAACAACAATTCATTGAAGTCTGGTTAGGTTTGAGATCCGGGGGCCGTGTGTTGGTGCAAAGTTACCTCACCTTATCTCATGAAGTTTGATTTAGTACCCTAGGAACTCGAAAATATGCTGGAAAGCTTCCTAAAAATAACATCGCTTCACTATAACCGATTTGAAATGTTTAGAAATCCTTTTTATTATCAACCAATTAGGGACTTTTCACAAATATTTACGATTCAAGTGGGTATATTGAATACATATAATAAAGCAAAGTAGTTGGCACAGAAAACTAAAAGATATTTGACCAAATTCCAGCCCTACCCCTTTCAAAATAATTATTCCTTTTATTTATGCTGAAAGCAAATATTTATTTATGCTTTCTATAAAATCTATATCGTGAGATACGTATATATAATCGCTGCTTATATTCACCACAACAATCAGCCAATCATTAGATACATTATAGGTCGAGTAAACCACTTAATCAAATACATCTTTGATTTTTTCAACGGTTTAAGGAAATAACAAACTTTTTCCAATTTGGTAATTTCTCTCACTAATACTCAAAACTTTATACTCTCATCTCATATCTAGCCAATAGATAGACTAGTCTTAAACAAAGTGAAAATTGTTTTTGAGTTCTTAAATTATTTGGGCTAAAGAAGAAAGAGCAGATTGCTTACATACAATTAGTGTTTTTTCCAGAGATTAAATTTACTTTTGATATCATTTTCCGTATTTTCTTAGATCTACCATGCCAAAAGATTATAGCAGACACTTTCCATGGTCCAACTTTGTGTTCAATCCCTATTGCGACTATAAATGGGGATCCCCCCATATTCCCCAAATATTCTTTTTCTCCACCACTCTTATTTCGTACCAAGTACACTCCAAGACTCTAAAGCTATAGAGACTACAGTGACACACTTGATAAAGCAAATAAGAAACACTTAAACTCGGAATTTAGTAATGATTTTCACTACTAAGTTCAGTTCTGGCTCCAAGAAATCTCTTGATTCCACAAAGGCGGTGGAAGCCTCTGGAGCCATTGAGCACTCCCGTTTTGAAACTTCAAAACAAACCAAACCCGAACAGGCCACCATGTTCGACAACTCTTCATGTTTCTCGACTCTCCGGAAACACTCTCCTCGTTCTCCAATTCGGTCCGAAGTTTTGGGTACTGGTCCAGCCAACACATGTACACAAAACCAATCGTACCGATCCAGTGATTCTAAGCTCAAGGAAGTTTCCAAGAGTAAAGGTCATCGGCTCTCTGGCCTTCTTGAGAAGGCCAAGGCTAAGGCAGCATCTAAAAAAGCTGCCTTCAAAGCCCGTGCTAAGGCTTTGTTTGGGAAGTCTTCTTCTCAAATTAAGCTGGTACCTCCAGTTGAGTTTTCGAACTCGATTTATAAGGTGAAGGCACAATTCTCATCTGTTTCTGATGTTTCAGAAAACAGTGTCTCGTCGCCATCTACGGATCCAACATTCTACGGCCTCACAAGCCCAGCAAAGTTCGTGCCCAAATCAAACTCTGGGCACAAACACAAAAGTAAGTCACGCAAATCATCGTCAAAGAAAAACAAAGCTAAGAAAAACTTGAACACCAAACACCAACTGGCACCTGACTCTAGTTTGGGAGGGCTTGCTGCCAAGTGCCGGATCGGAAATTTTGATAACGTTCTTGAGTCGGAATATTTTTTTCGGACTCCCTACCTTAGTGATCTTGACTTTGATATCCAAGCTATTGGAAAACCCAGCCTATTTATTGCGCATCAATGATTACTTGCAATGATGTGTTGAAACCAAAACGTGGGTTTCTCCGGGCTGGGGTCAATAATTGGGTGCAAAAAATGCGCGCGTTTTGCAACCAAGATTGGTTGTGGGCATAAAACAACTGAAGATGAAGAAACACTAAGAAAGACATTTTCTCTCTACCTTATAATTTTTCGGTTTCGGAAAGCTTTAAGGGAAGATGGGTTTGTTAATTTGTGGTTTTTGAATCCACTTTTTGCCTTTGCTGTTGGTTTTCCCGCTCCTCGCCACTTGCCTGTTTTGCCTTCACGCTTTTCACTTGCTAATTACAAGTTTATTATTTTCATTACTGCTACCGCTTTAAGGATGTTTTTGGAATCCAAGCTATCTGCCAGAACCAAAAGATGGGCCGATAATTGCGCAGCAAGAACTGGCTCCATTGGTCGTGGGGTTTGCAAATCTGTCGGCCTCTTTGGTTCCAAATCTCGCGTGGCTGATGATACTTGGATCCTGAAAGTGGGGGCTTTATCAAAGAAGGTAACAGCTAGAGAAGCCCAAAGCAATACTGAAACACTAGCTCAGGATCAGAAGAAAAATAACTTCGATCCCCCCAAGGTCAAGCCTGGTATTATCTCATCGTTGTTTCAAAAGAAAGTGGAACCGGTAGAACCGTGGGAAAGTCTAGCTCCAAGCATCGAGCAGATTAAAATGCGAATTCGCCAAAGACGGGCACACAAAGAGAAGATTCTGCAGTTGATCAAGGAAGGCAAAATCACTGAAGGAAATGATTTTAAGCCCATGACTCAGCGTCAAAAAGATGAACTCTTTGAATCTGTGTTCAAGCGCCCCCTGAGACCAAAGAAATATCAACAAAAGCCGTTCAACTTCGAAGAGTGGGATGCTCGTCGGATACAGAACCAGTACGAGAGAGAAAAGAATTCTACTGGAAAACGCTTTATCCCGACAGACCCGGTATATGTACAAGACAGGTCGGACTATGTACCCGGTGTGCCGGAGTATGTACCTGATATGCTGATGTACGAACGTTTTGGGGATATGGGAGTACAGGAAGAATTTCAGTTCTAAGGGAGCGCTTAAGTCTTTGGTTGATATTGAGTCGTGCTTGTCGCAGCTTCCAGATTTGAAATCACTTTCTTCGACTTTGATTAAGTTGTTGAGTGACTTTACTTTTACTGAAGAGGTTTTAAGAATCTGATACCACGAGTCTTTGATCAAGGTTTTGTGATCCAAGCTTAAATTTCCCGTTTTTCACGAACAAAACCTATCCTGAAATGAGTAGCTGGAGATCTTATTGATTTCTGCTGATGACTTACTGGGGGAATTCTTCATTTACGGATAAGGTCAGTTCTTGGGTGATAGGGAATTGTGGCTTGAAAGATCACAGTGCATTTGGGGCGTGCTCTTAACCTTTCAAAAACAAAGTGATATTGGTTCAAAAGGATTTCTCTTTGGTACTAGTTGGTCAGCCTAACATTTTTTCTTTGGCGATGAAAGTTCCAAGTTTGAAGTTTTGCATTGGTAAAGCGGTCGTCTTTTTAATCTCCGTGGCCTTGGGGTTTTATTATACTAACAAATTTAGGGAAAAGCGAAAGGAATTGGTACAGGCATGGGCAGAGGTATGGACAGAGACATACATTTATGAGAGATGGATCATGAGGAAGAGAGAGAAAAAAAAAAATGAGAGACAGACAATCCAAGCTTAACCTTAACCAGATTAAGACTTGGTTGACTGACCTAACTTGGGTTCCCGGAAGAATCCACCTTCTTTTGGGAACTTGTGGCGTTGGGTGGTCTGGAATTAGAAATATGGCTACTTTCTAAAGCCAACCACCTGGGGAGGAAGGATGTTTATTGTTTTCAACAGTTTCTCCACCTAGTACTTTAAGTGTGTCGGCTATTGACATGCGCAAAAAAAAACTTGGAAAACCCCAAAAAAACATAAAAAAAAGCTAGAAAGCATTAGTCTAGCATAATATTATATTTTGTTGTGTCAGCTCAATTTGGTGTTGAGACTGACTGTTATTAAATTTTGTTTCGTAAAAAACTGGATCGCCATAAATACCAACAGTCGAATCCCCAATATGAAAAGAACAGTTCTTTATATATTGAGAGTTCATCCAATCAAATCGATAAGTTTGTCATGAAAACTTTCCTTGGCCTGATTCGGATTAATTTAGACTCCTAAGAATTTATAAATATCAAGGTCTTGGAATCCAGAAATGAAATGGGGACGTTATCTGAAAAGTACTGGCTCGTAAGCCTCCGTAGATCTACAACAATGTTACACCAAAGTAATATCCAAGTTTTCTCGCTGGCTGAAGCAAATTTCCCAACTTCAGGTTCCATTACTATTCCTTAAATTTAAGAAAATAAGCAGTACCGAACATAAGATGACTAAACATAAAGTGATGCGAAGAAAAAAAGATCCAACTTTGATTCCCGCACCTCATACAAAAAGTCCATCACCACGATCATGCCAGCAACAGGACACTAGAGGTAGATATAATTTTCTTCCACAAGTGTGAAAATATTCATAACGGTTCCCAAACAAAACCAAGAACAAAAAAAAAAAAAAAAGAACTCGTAAAAAATAAAATAATAATAATAATAATAATATAATAATAATAATAATAATAATTCGCAAATAACAGTAAGCTCTGAAGCTAATGCCTTCTGTATACATAGATAAAGTCTTCATCTAGCTAAGGCAAACGACATTACTGACTAGTTTTCACCGTACAGGTCGGCAATCAAGCTACATTGTTGAGGAGCTTTTGCCGTCCATGGAGCTCAGCAAGAACTCAGATAAACTCCAACTTTTCGGACAGTATTTTCGGAGAGTATTGAGTTTTCGATCATTTTGAAACCTTATTATTATCATGCGGTTAGTGAAAAGCTTAGAACTTTTGAAACTGGCTTCTAACTGCAAGCTTTTGCTTGTTGCTATAAAACACGATTTTTGCCCTTTCATCGTGTCAAACTGGTTTGCTTTCACCAAAA